GGGATTGCCTCTGGCCTGATGTTTGATTTTCCTAGAGTGTTTTCCCTGACGGCATCCTCGAGATATCCTTCTTAGCTCTGGGTGATGACGTGCAGCTGTTCATTTACATGTCAATTCATATGTAGGCACTTTTGAATGTTTGTGTTTGTGGATTCGGCACGTTCTCACCAGAGTCTAATAAGGATGTTTCAAAGTCAGATTCAGCATAAATTTCCCAGGCAAGTTTGAGCAGCATACTAAGGTAAATCCACGCTCGTCTTTTGAGGAGCTATACTTACGAAACTCTTTATTACACACTTTCGTCAGAAAGGAAATTCAACTAAAAAATGCACTATTAGATATGTCAGAACCACACTTTGCGATAACTTTTTATGAACACTTGCTTAAAAGTAGTGGTAAAACGCGTTAGAAAAATTCGTTGTTTATTATACCATAAGAAACAAGGGAAGCACAGGAGCCCTGATGATTAATAATTTATGTAAAAGTCTCTGCTATATTTTAAGTGTAGATACATAATAATTTTGCATAAATATAAACATAGAATGACCAAATTAGGTGGCCGATCCATTCTTTGATAATCGGTCAATTTAATTTGTTATAGGTTTGGGTCATCTTTACAGTGTGACCGGTTGTTTGGCTGTTAGGCTTATTTATGAGGATACTTTCCACCATTTTAGTTAAATAAGATGAGTATCCAGCTTAAGTGGGTGTTAAACTTTCGAGGTTATTGCAGGTTCTCATTTCGATTCTTTACTATTTTTACCTTTTACTAATTATCTAAAGATAGTCGGTCATATGTACAGCAATAGTAAGATTATTTCTGTTGCGGCAGTAGTAAAACTTCACTAATGAGGTTAGCTTTAGGTGTTATCTGCCAACGAACAATATCTTATGGCTTTTACGTCATAGGAGGGTTTGGAGAGGTGGAACTTTAGCAAATCCACAATATTTTATATCATATTTCGGTTTAAACTAACTAAAAATCTCTTCTACACAGTTTTTCGATTGAATTAATAGGTTAAAACTCATGAAACCCTACAGTAGGCCTTAGCTATCAAATTTTTCAAAGATATTTCCCAAAGTTCCTCGCATTTAAATGTAACAAAGTCATGTGGAATAAAGACAAGACATCAAGACAGATTGGACTTTCTTAGAGATTAACTTATGGGATTCCGGCTAGAAGCTTGATATACAAGGCAAATAATTTGTTTTACAATTTTGCAATGCTTTGAAATCGCTGATCCAATTTCCAACCTCCTTTTTTGCAATAAGGTAGGCACACTCAAGATTAACCATGATTCCTTCTATGATATTCCATCTCTTGGCCTATGCATCCTTCTTTAAGGACGATGGCAGGTTCTTAACTCTGACCAATCATTTGTTCACTAGAGCCTAAAGCATAATTTAATCTACAGACCGAAGCAATGGAAAAGGTATTGGTACTACATAGCTATTTTACAATCTTATAATAAAATTTCAATTATTTGATTTATTAAATCCTTATTTCCTATTAGAGCTTACTCTAACTTTTTTTTAAAAGTTTGTCATTTTATCTATAATTTGTTAAAAGTTAAAAGTTTTCAAAATCAAGGGTTTAGAACAAACGTTTGCTTTTATAAAGGCTTCCCGCCTATGTCTATAGAGGTCTGAAAAATACAGCCAAGATGCATTTACAAGCCCAAAATAATTGTGATATCTCTCAATCTTTTTCATAGAGACCAATTGGAGAAGGAGAATGCCCGGCTATCCGAACTTCAAGAACGCTACGAAGACCAAAATGTGGGCAACTTTCGCCGAATCTATCCAGTCAAAGATGATGAGAAGTACGAGAGATTTTTGAGTTCCAATGCCTCTCTTTACCAAGAAACTGTTGCATTCAAGGCACGCAGTGAATGTGCACGGTACGAGTTTGGCTTAATCAATAAAAAATTTGAGTAAAATGGAGATACAGAGTCGAACCCTGCCATTAGGCCTAATAAAATGCAAATGAATCTAAAATTATTAGATATGCAAATCGGTTAATATATCTGGGATAAGTGAGCAATCACGAAGTAGTCAGCCAGAAAATTAGCTTCATAATGTACCCAAAACTAATGGAATAAAAGTATTCCTAAATTTTTGGAGGTCGATCCCACCAGAAGACGACTGCGGATTGCTCTCGACCAGTTGTTTTATCATACACAGTGTTAGTAGCCTGTATAGTCCGGAGACCTGGACAATAAATATTATACTAGTTATGACGAGAAACTGGGTTTCGAAGAATCTCTTAGTAGATTGATACTGGCATGCCTTTCATTTCTTTCTAAAATCCGGGTGAAAGGGATCCGTAACTTGGCTATATGGAGCCATCGGGGTCACAGGACGGTGAGTCGAGGTCTTCTTCACCCAATCAAATAGCCACAAGTCCAAGGTAGCCCTAATTTGGTATATGATCAGGCTAATTTAGAAATCCCTTCCACCTGCCTTTAGATGTTAGGGCTGGGAAATTTGCTTATGATGCATCTGGGTCTGATCATTATGTATAAAAATGAGATTAACTCTTTCTCTACTATCCTTTTTAACTCAGAATTCTATTTTGTAAATTCATTCATGGGGACTATTTATCAGAAAGAAAAAATCTCATTTGCTCAGCTTGCTTGAAATTCCACTGTCTACTCTCTTCTTGAACCACCATTTAGAGCACTTTTATAGCCTCTTTCAGAGCATTCTTTTAACCGGCAAGAAGCATTCATCTTCCCAGGCTAATATTCAAAAGTATTTGTTCACGGGAATAGATGACATAAAATAGAAGTAGAATGGATTGAATGTACTAGCACTTTGCTTCTGAGTACAAACCTTGGTAGTCGAGCTTTATGTAATAAACAGAGGGGTCTAATTTACTTACCTGTAAATGTGATTTCAAGCAATGCCTAAAGAATGAATTAGCTCTGGGTGAACCTCAAGTTTTAAACTATCACTATATAAAAGGGTATTTCAAATGCCTGGTAAGAAGAAT